AATCATAACTTTTGTTAATTAAACTTTGAATAATAAAATTGTATCAAGTGTTGTCACTACTCAACCTATCCACCAGTCAGGCACTTTATCGATCTATTAAGTGATGAAGATAAAGCACTTAGCCATTAACTTTTCAATTTGCATCTTCCACAGGAACTAAGGGACCAGTCGTTATTCATACCAGCGGTTGGGGCCGAAAAGAAATTATTTTAACCACAAAAAAATAATTCACCCAACCAACCAATACCGGAATTTTGAAATAGCCCCCAAAATGCAATTTACTGCAGATAAATGTACACATACGTACCTATTTTTCATTACTCATTTTTTATTGACCATTGCCATTGTTTTAAAAAACCTTGTCCACATCAGAACAAAACGGTGAAACTGTTCATGTAACTAAAAATCTAAGCCACTTTCATTTTTCGTACACACCCTGCGACGGAGAAGCGAGCTAGGTCTGTGCAAAAAAACGAAGGGAAATTAAATACCTTTTCGTACAGGCCAGGCAAATGAACTAATAAAATAGGGAATTTATTATATGCTTACCATTTCCGCGGACAGAAAAATGACTTACCTGATGTATAAAATACAGTCATATTAAGCCGGAATGTGCTCTATTCTGTTTAATATTCTGCTTTGTCTAATGGTTTACTTCAACTTTTGAACACCGAGCAGTTGATTTAAAGAATAGACTGTAATCTATACTAACAAGTTTTACATTGATTTTGATCATTCTTTGTGACATGAATCATAACGAATAAGGTTAATATAAACAACTAAAAATGCAGTTTTTTATAGCAACCATGTGAATTACTTTGTGCCCGTTTTATGCTTTGTATAGATACATGTACGCATAGCGTGTTTATTTTTTCTTTTGTTATGCACTGCTTTAATTAGGCACAGAGGTGGAAATATGCGATGTTGACTACCATTTTTTATCGGACTCGTATTGCGATAATTGGAGGGTGTATATTCATATATTCATGTTCACATACCGTAAAAACAATCGCTTTCAAAAGAAATCCGTCGGGCAGAACACGAATATATGAATATGCACTAACTTCCCCCGCGCAACTATCGGTCTAGCCACGGCCCTGCTCGTATTTGCTCATTTTTTCTCCATTTGGTATTAAAAACGTGTCAGTCAACAGCTAAAAGCCTGCATGATCTTTCAGAATATGAAAAATTTTGTTCATATGTGAAGTAGATCACATACAATAGCGCGCTGAAGTTGGATTACCTTTTTTCTATACATCGACCCTGTACAAGAAGTTACAAAAATATACACTAATCCCAATTTATTGTGACAATGAAAAATAATACAGACACATGTTTTAGAGATGCTTGCGATTATATGACGACAACTAAATTGATTTGACGTGACTGATAATTTTAAACTTCCGAAACTAGTTATTACTACAACAATATGTTCATTTGTTAGATGCTCATTTTCCATGTAATTTTCTTCTTTTATTTCAAAAAGGTTAGATGATAGCAGGCGTCTTGAAACTGTCGTAAAGATATTCTCCAAATCTAATTATAACACTTTTTCCCTTTAGGCCCCATCCTTACATCTTTTTCAACCATGACCATAACAGCATGACTTTTCTGGGATTTCTACTCAGCCATAATGGTGACTTGCTTGTTCCCGGAACCAATGAAATTTTAGAACAAAGATTGATGGACGCTGCATTAAGAGCACAACTTAAATGTCAAGGAGTTGATTTTGATGTAAACTACGAGGAACGTGACAGGTTTGTGTCAATACGTAATCTAATCTGTTTTATATTTTCTCGCAGATTCGTATGATTGCAAGGAAAACATTTATTTGGGGGGAAATGGACTAGAATTCATATGTTTTTCTTCCAATCAAATATGAAAGTCATTATTATACCCAATTCGTATAACATATATAGTATGTCAGACGATTTCCTTGAAATTGCAAAGGACGTTCTCGAAGAGCATCGTTTAGTGATGGCTAATGCATTCCTTTTAAAAAATATTTATTAATTAACTGAAATTACTTACTTTTATTTTTTATGGTTATTTTTTCCATTAAAGACCGTCACGTATTGCGAACTTATGCAGTGTCATGGGAGTTAACCATATGTTTGATCCAGACCCCACATATGAACTCACCACAGATAATGTTAAAAAGATATTGGCAATCCACATGCGATTCAGGTTAGTTTGAAGATTTTTTGCATGCATGAGTGAGCGTTTTTAAATATTTAGCAATGAATATTTTAACTACTTATTTCAATGAAACATTTCGATTTTGCTAATTGTATAATCTACCTGTTTTTGCGACATTTGTGTACATTAGACATGTTTATCTACTCTGGTCTGAATGAATAAATTGCATCTTGTTTGATCTTAACAAGATCCTCAGGCTTTGCGAATGATGATACAGTATAACGTCAAAACGGGTTTTGTGGTGACCTTAATTATATGTAATTACATACATTACTTCACCATTATCATTCGATCACCGTAATTGGTTCTCTAACATATTGTCTTTGAATAAATCAATAAAACTGACGAATAAATCTATATTAGCTAGGTCGTAATTTCTATCTGTTAACTGGAGAGAACGAAACAATATTATCTTCATACCTAATTTACTAAGATTGAGATATATAGTAGTTAAAGGTATATTTTTATTTCAAAAAGGTGTGGCATACCAGTAATTATCATGGGGGAGACAGGATGTGGCAAGACTCGTCTTATTAGATTCATGTGTGAACTTCAAGCTGGACCTGATGGGCCGAAAAATTTGGTACTCATGAAGGTTTGGAGAGTTTTGATTACTTTTTAAGCGCCTTAGTTCTTGCTAAATTCACCAGATTGGAATTTCATTTGAATTTGTTCAATGTTGCTGTTGATATCAAAATTTATAAACATGGGAACTTCATTGTTTCTTCCTACTTTATCTGACTCACTAGTCATAAATGGGGCCTGTTCATATGACCCAGCTAGGCGGGAGACGACATTTTCCAATATTGCTGATATACAATTTTGCTACTATTCTGCTTATAAGCGCGGGGTAGAAGTTTACCATATACAGTATACACTCTATCCCAGACAGACAATGCGAGTTTGCCTTCAAGCATTTGTCCCGCATAGCCCAGATTATGTAAACTGATCCCGGAACTGCAATTGGAACATTTTAGGACATATACTAAATTGCACATTATCAGAATACCTGTGCACAAAGTTAATATTTTACAGTATTTGTCATATTATGACAATGTCAAATCCTTGTTAAGCCCCCAGCGACCTCATAAATAAGCCCCCTTCCCCCAATCTTTCTGAAAATTACCCCCCTCCCTTTTAAGGGTTGTGAATATGGGCAGCAAACGTGGCTATATACATTTCGTTTCAGGGCTATTTTGACATTTGCCTCGCGGGAGTCAGGCTAACCTGGCAAGTTCTGGCAAGAAATTTGTGTGAAATGCTTGTTAGGTTGGCAACAGCTTCAGAAGGCTTAGATTCGTGGATTTCGTACTCGTTTGGGCTAAATCGTGTATTATAACATGATTTTCAGCCCAGTGAGTTGGTTGGCCAACTTATGCAATTTATGACCTTTAGTGCATGTGAGACTCTGGGGGGATAGCCTCGCTCACGATAGAGGCTGGGCCAGTCAATTCAACCAGCCTGGTTCATGTGAATGCGATCTCAAAAATAGGAGCAAAATTTATATACATGCAGTATAAGGCATGCAGTATCTCACCACTGGCAGGTATATATTGGTGAACTGTCTGTGCCAGTGTAGGAGTGCCAATATAAATAACAAGCCTTCGTTGATACGGATGAAACTACCTGAAAAATGTAAGGAGAATTTCGACATTTTAAGCGAAAGCCCGTCGCTCGAAATTCACTTTATATTTTTCAGGTAGTTGCATCCCTACCAACAAAAGCTTGTTATATAGGTATATATTAGGTCCAAAACTGGCTCGGCAGCTTACATCGTACTACAGTACCTGGTTGAGTTTTGTTTGATCTAGCCTGGGCAGGATGTATGCACGCAGGCAAGTTCGTGTTGCCTGTCCGGGATAAAGTGTTTACTGTATGCATGTGATGGATTTTTTGCTTGCCTAGCCGGGATTCTGGCAAGGAATGTCTCGCATTTAGACAGGATAGTAGCAGGATCGTATATAAGCAATATTGGCAAATGTCGTCTCACGTCATACGAACAAGCCCCCCATTGTGACCAGTGAGAAAACAAAAAAAAAATTTAGTAAAGTGAGAAACATAAAGTAAGAAACAATGAAGTGCCCATGTGCATAAATTTTGATATCTGAACAGCAATATTAAACAATGTCATTCTGTCCAAAAATCATCCATCTTCTTAAGTTAGAACTCCGTTATCAATGAATATGTTTTCATTCAAAGTTTAAAAACAATGAAAACAAGTTTTGAATGTCAGAAGAAAACGAAGAATATTCACGTCCAGAAGTTGCAACACAATGTTGACCCATTATCCTGTCGTTGACCAACTCAACGAGAAATGAAATGATATTAGCTATTGAGCTTATCAATTAAAACATACTTGCCATAGGTTTGAATTTTCGCACTCCGCCGTCCAAATATTTGATGCATGAGTTTCTTTTTGCCCATTTATACCAACAAATCTATTTCAGAACCATCCACAGAGATATGAAAACCAACCAGTAGCAGCTGTGAAAAATGCAACTATATATAGACTTTCTGGCAGGAATCAAACCTGCGGCCTGCAATCCAGTGCAGCGCTCTAGGCTTACCCGAGCTATAGAACCCAGTTGTCGAGCTTTAACTGCAAGTTCATGTATACTACGGTGATACCAATGTGTAAGGTATGTGGGTAAATATTAGGGGTTTTGGCATCTAACTATTTCACTCAAGTGAGATGCCCAAAATTCTTATATTTACCCATGAACGTGCGGTTAGAACTTGACAATTAGACTGTGTAGCTCAGTTGGTTAGATTACTGCACGAGAATCGCAGGGCCGCAGGTTCGATTCGTGCCAGAGAGCATATAATTTTTGCAACTGTTCCTGGTTAAGTGGAAATTTCACGCATCTACAAAACCCTTTAACATTCAATTATAAACATCAATGCCTAGCATAATATGCGTAAAAGAGCCATCACAAAATTAAATTATGAATTATAGTTTTATCAAGTCAGATGACCAAAATCCTATATTTATGCTATTTAAAAAATAAAACTTTTTAAAACTTGATTTCATTGATTTTTATGCGCTAATCCGTTCAGAGCTTACAAATTTTAGAGGCTTTATTTAAGTTTGTGCAAGGCAAAGTTTGAAGGTCCATATCTTCTCAAATATCTTCTCAACAAGTTATGAATAAAAAAATCCGCTCAAGTAATTTCAAGAGAAATTTCTGAATTAATGTCATGCAAATTAATGCCACTTGCAGAGAAGCTTTCAAGTGGCTCCATAGATGAATGCGTTTTACGTATTCTGATATAGCTTAGAGCCGAAATATAAACAAGTTTCCTGATTGGCGGAAACGAAATTCGTCCTTATTTTAATGAAAATGTTTGGCTTAGATACATGGTGGAACCACTTATACAGAGATTGAAAAGAAAGTGGAAGAAGCAGAGAAATATGCTTCTTGCTATGAGGGGATAAATGTTGATACAATTTTGTTCTTTGATGAGGCCAATACAACTGATGCAGTTGATCTTATTAAAGAAATTATGGTCGACCGAAGAGTAAATGGACGAGCTATAAATCCGAAACTAACGAGGCTTCATTTTATTGCTGCCTGTAATCCATACCGAAAGTAAGTTAAAGCGATTAGAAGTTTGTAAGCTTCTTACATTTTTGGTTTGACTCATTATGCCTATCGGATTTAATGCTAATAAAGGAATGCCTTTATATATATATATATAAATATATATATATATAAATATAAATATATATATATATATATATATATATATATATATATATATATATATATATATATATATATATATATATATATATATATATAAATATATATACCGGGTGTCCCAAAAAAAAGTACTCCTGTTTGATTCGTAATAACTTCTAAACAAGTAAAGCTTTTTTAGAGAAATAACTTGCATTAAATAGAGGAAGGACTAACTTAGATTTTGATATATTACAGTTGTATTTTACTTAAAAATTCACGGAGATATTAATGTTCAAAATCGGGAGCATATTTCTGGATGTGTCTGAAATATGCAAAAAACGGCGTATCAAATATTAATCAAGATTTGCCCGACTGAAACATGCACTATTACCAGTAAATAAATGACACTTGACAAATTGTTTATTATGAAACAAAATATTATTATATTTACAAAATACAAGCAAGATTTATTCGTCCGAAATTCGCGTGTGTTCCTAACACGAATAAGTTTCCTTATTTCATGAGACCACTGCATCGCGAAGGATCGTCATGGATCGTTCGTAGTTCTGAATTAGGGCATGCTGTCACAATGGAATTGTGAAGCACTTCTAACTTCTGCAACGTTCTCAAATCTTGTTAAAAACACCCAAACTCTTTTGCCTTTTCTTAATCTTGGCAAGTTCAGAGTAAACTGAGAATTATATGAAACACAATCAAACCATATAACTCCATAAGACATAACAATTAAGCAACGTTCTCCCCAGAGACATGCAACATTTTTGGAACAAAACGTAACAAAATAGTAGCGTTGATACGGTGATGTGTATTTGCAAAAAGCAATAGTATTTCCTTCAATAAAGAATAATATTCATCCTGCTCTAACCGAGAAATAATCAACTCAGTCTGTTTGAACCATTAAAAACATAAAAAATTAGGCTATTTAAGAAAAATTTAAGCGCCTGCCTTCCATGGTCAGTCTTTCATGTACTTTTAAGCTTGTAAAGACCTAAT